AACTTTAGAGATGTCTTGTAATTCAAAGGACCTAGAAACACGTAATTACATTGAGCTTTTCGATGGCTGTTTCATCTTCTAAGTGATGCTGAGTTTTACTGCAAAATTTTTTGTGTTGCGGCGACATTGGAGCATGTTAATTTGCCGTTTTTTTTTCATACGAACCTTTGGCTCATTCTCAAGGATTTGTCTGAAAGTTAATAATCTTTTTTTTAGTTTTCTAGTTTGAATGATTTCTGCTTTAAAAAAGAGGTTCATATCAGCGGAATGTTCCCAATCGTCGTCAACCAGTTCCCGTACTCCTGCTGGTGTAGTTGCAATAGATCAACAATTACAAAAGAAATATGCAAAAGGAGTTCAGTATAACAGTTGAGTGTCCCTGTGAAATTTTCCTCTTCCATGTATCCTTTAGCTAATCCTGTTCAGTTAAAAACGATTAGAAGTTGTGTTAGGCTATATTTATGTCATTCAGAGTTGGCCTTTTTATCAAAATCGTCCTTTGTTATTTGATTGAATTTGTGGGTATGTTCAACTTCCATATTCAAAAGTAAACGCCTTTAAACAGTTTAGTGAAGATTGTTATTCGAGGCGACCGTAATGTCGGAAAAACATCATTATTACGTCGTTTACAGGGACTTAGTTTTGAAGAGGATTACAGTCCTACTGAGGAGATACAGGTAAATTTTTTTTTGACGACTATTTTTTTTATTCTGTTTAGAGCTTTCGCGAAGCAGTTTCATAACTTTTGGCTGTTGAGTTTTAATAATTTTTGTGTTTTTTGCCTACCTATACCTCTCGTTTTTTACTCTTCTGGACTCTTATTTGATTTTTCTCTCTTCAAATTTGATGAAAATATTGTTTTAAACTATTTGTGAAAGTAACTCGCATTTTTAGGTTTTTTTACCTGCGATGCTTATTTGCTTTATTTATGCCCTCAATAATACTTTTTATCAAATCATCACAATGTGACAATTTTTGAGACTGTGAAGTTTACTAGTGGTCACTTAATGTGTTAGTTTTATACCAGGTAGCTACAATTCATTGGAATTATCGTACTACCGACGATATAGTTAAAGTCGATGTCTGGGATGTAGTAGATCAGAGCAGCAGAAAACGAGTAAGACTTGAGGGGCTTAAATTGTCAAATAAGGAAGCTCAGGTAGAAGCACTCCTGTTTTATATTTTTAGAAGTTTTTTGTCTCATAGGAAAAGTTTTTAGGTTGTTTTTAATTCTGGAATTTATAATTTGTACATTCCATTATTGCAGAATCATCATTAGTAGTGTGCGTTATGAAATAGTCAATTTTAAGTAATTAAAATTAACAGCACAAGTTTCATTTATTTTTTAAATTAGAGGAGTTTTGCAATTTTGTGCAGTAACAGTTAGCGGTTTGCAGTTTCAAGATGTTGCTTGTGACGCTCGTTTTGTTGACGTTTATAAAGGAACTCATGGAGTAATTCTTATGTTCGACATCACAAAAAGCTGGTTCTTTTTTCATTAGAGAAAGTTGTTGCGCAAGTGACTGAGTTAGAAAGAAAAATCAAAGGGAATCAAAATGTGCCAAGAATTGGAATTGTTCAGAAACAGAACAAGAAGTTTTGATAAATTAGTTGAAAATTCTTTTTTAAATGATACTATCAATACGGAATACACTGGTCAAAGCTATTTTATTTTTTTCTGGTTGAAACATTGATTTTTTTTCTTTATTTTATGGCTTTTTTGCTTCGTGCATTGAGTTTTTTTTTGTTTGGGGTAAGGCAAGAGAATATTCGTCATTGTCGCTCTAAATGGCATTTTTTGGCCTTTTTTCAGGACTTGGGATTATGTAATTAAAGAATTACCGAATGTTCCAAGTAACATCCCTGTTCTGATCATGGGAAACCGACGTGATATGGGTCATCACCGTCAGGTTACTGAAGAGACCTGCCGTTCCTTCGTTGAGTCTTATGAACGGTTGGTGTTTGCTAAAATCGCTGTTAAGCTTGTGCAACAAAATTCCCTGCTTCTTTCAATTTTAATAAATAAATTTGAAATTATGATTAAATTAAATCTTCCGTTAGAAATTCATTTTTTATCGGTTCTGTAAAGCAGCTTTTTTATTTTTTGGATAGTAAATAAGTCTCAGACAATGTTCATACAGAAGTGGGCAGTTGCAAGACTTTTTCGTTATCCCCTCTTAGGATTAGCTCATTGGAATTTCTCGGGAAATATTAGTTATTGAGTGATTATTGTGAGGGAAATTACCACTGTTGCTATTTAAAACCTATTTACGTTAAGACAAAAATCTTTACGTATATTCTCCTTTCACCACTGATGAACCTATGTGTTCATTTGTGCCTTAAATAGCTCATTTGAACTTTAATTTCACTGTTCTTTGAAATAATCTGGTGCGATAGCAAGTTCAGCTACTGATTAGAATTGTGACTTGCTCGTCGTTTTCACACAGACACAAACAAAAAGAACTGTCAAAGTGTACCGTCCGTTTGCGGGTGATATGCGGCACGTTTCTTATCACTTCTCTGTGGCCTTTTTGCTATCATTGAATATAATGTTAATTTCAATTATGAGTAGTGCGGGTTTACCGGTTTTTGGTTTTTTTGACCAGAGTACTTGCATGGATTTGATTGTCTCAATTCCTTGGTGGATTGTCCTACGGCATACTTGTGCCTTTTTAATTTATGGGCTAGCAGCTGCCCAGTGGCCTCAAATGAAACATGAAGAAATTGCTTTTCGTTACTGTGATAAAGATTCAGCGATGGTAGTATTTACCTTAATTTTCTGGTGTGCGATTTTGTTTCATTATACCATATCTGCTGGCAGAGTTGAAATTGATTGGAACAGGGGATTGTTCAAAGCTCGTGGATGGTTGGTTAAGCGAACTCGCCGTAGTCATCGAGCACTTCTTACACTGTCGTTAGCTATTTCGTCTGCTGTTATGCTGCAAGTATGCATTTTGCATAGAAGGCTTCTTCGGGAAGTAGGAGCCGCACCAAAAGCTGATCAGCCATTCCTAAGGCTTGAGTTGATTTTGCTGAAAGCTGACGTGATACTTTCTTCACTGTTTGGTATTTACATAGCCGTAAGGCTTTGCTTGGAGCCCAACGATGTGTTTAAAGAACACCGAAATCAAGGAGGAATACCACGTGACTTGGAAAACGTTGAAATTCTCCCTGCTGCTGATTTGAGTACAGGTCCCATTGCAGAGACATCGAATAGTGAGGGAGTTAGCGAGCGCGTTGAACATATCTGTACAAACATAGATGCTTTGTCAGAGTGTAATATATGTACCCAGAAACTAGCGAATTGTTATTTGAGTTGTGGTCATGCGATATGTTGCTGTTGTGTTGCCAGATTGTTAGTCTCTCAGGAGACTTCACTTCATTGTCCATACTGCCGCCAGTTAAGTACTGTCGTCAAACAACTTAAAGTATCTTATATTGAGGGTGCTGAGATAGTTGAAACTTCTCCTTGCATGCAGAATGAAATTTTATGAAGATTTGTTGTTGTAGAGTGAATGAATTTGTTTGTAGGTTAAAGGAATTTTTCTTGGTCCTGATATACTGCTGTGGTATGTGGAAATGTTATTTTCAAACTGACCCGAATGTAATTGTTACAGAAGTCTCACTTTGCTAGGTAGAAGATTTACAGTCATGGGGATAGTTTTAGGTCTTAATCTTTGCCTTCTAAAGCAGGTGAGGTTTTGATTGAAAGCAAGTTATTTTGCGGAAGAAAATAACATTTCTTTTTTTTTCAATATTTTTTGACGTGTATTTTTTTAAGCAGTTGTGTTGATAGTTGGTTGATGAATTTGTTTGATTATGTTTTAATTCTTCATTCCTGACGTTATTTCTGACATTTTTGGCATATTTGAGTTTTTTTGTTTAAAACAATTCCGTGACACGTGAGTTTCTGAGGTTCATCAGCGCTCCAAACACTTTAAAAAAATGAACAGTAGACTCGAGTTTATCTTTTCCTGTCATTTTCCGCACACTGTTAACCCTGGTGATTTTGGAGAGCTTTTGGAAAATTGCTCATTCGTTGTCTGTTGTATATGTACTTGAAATCTGGTCCCTCGAAGTATTGCAGAAGTTACTAAAACG